TCTCTCTCTCTCTCACACACATATCATGTAATCACATATACACAAACTACGTACAAACCCATACTCACTAGATTCAGAGTCTGCGCTCTCATTTCATTCTGGCATCACCAGTCTGTCAAATTCAGACTTCTGGAAGTCATCTGATTCTGTACCAGTAGGAGGGTTGGCTGATTTTCGAAATCACACAATTTTCGTGTGTGTGTGTGTGTGTGTGTGTGTGTGAGAGAGCGTGTGTGTGTGCAGTAACTCACGGCAAAGCTCAGGAGCCTCGTCGCTGTTGTCCAGACAGTCGTTGTCTCCATCACACTTCCAGCGCTCCTGGATGCAGCGGTTGTTCTTGCAAGCAAACTCTCCAGGCTGGCACTGAGGAGGGGGTACGTAAGACGGGTTGGCTGTGGAAAATGAAGTAGAGGAAAAGCGGAATTAAAGGAATGTGAAAAAGAGGTCACTGAGTACACGAAAATAAAAGCAAAGTACAGTTTTGAATTACCAAATTTTACAACAGAAGGAAAACAGACTGGATTTGTGGAAAGGTGCAATTAAAAGAAAATTAGAAAAACATCAGTCAAGATACGCCTCACTCAAACTAGACTGAAGCTGAGCTGACTAATACACTTTGTACAATAGACCTGCAATAAAAACCTATGCAAAGTTTTTCATAAATTGCATGGACTGATTTTGTTTGTGGTGTTGTTGTATTGGATTGTATTTTATTTGTATTTTGACCCACTTGGTGGTGGGCAAAATAAGTGGAACACCTTGAATATTCTAGACGTCAAAAAAGGAATATTTATAGGAGAGTTTGTATTGGCAGGTGCTTCTGTTATTGCAGCCACCTTCTGTATGTCTGCATTTGTTTTTGTCAAGCTGTTCCAGCAAAACACCCAGTCGCAGTCACAAAGCTTGACTCATCTTGTCCAACATACCAGAAATAAAACCTTGTATGGTCTGAGTGCCATGAGAAATACCCTTCAGTCTCACACACTCACACGTAAACACAAGGCATTCATGTTTGAACTCACCTTTGCAGCTGGTGTTGTCAGCTGGATCTAGCATTTGGTCGTCTGCACAGGCACACTGCCTGCCTTCTGGTATGGCCAGACACAGACTGCTGCAGCCACCATTGTACACACGACACGCATTAGAGCCTGCAGATGAACACGAATGTGCAAATATATAGGGGTTAACGCAAAGTAGCACAAATCATGTCTTGTGTAACTGTTGACAATCCTAATTTCTGGATTAACACGGATGGATGGTTGAATTGACAGAGAAAGAATCTGTTTGTGATGTGTTTCCAAGCACCTTGCTGCTGCTGAGCGTCATACATGCGGATTTCAAAGATGGGCGGTCTCTCGTTGCGCAGCAGAGTAGCGGTGCCAGTGGTGGTGTCCAACTTGTAAATGCTGCCACTACGATACTCGTTCCAGAACAAGAAGTGTTTATAATGACACAGACCAAAGGCGTGGCTCAGTTCCTGACCTTCGTACACCGGCTGGTGATGTGAGAAAGCAACAAGATGGAGAAGTTTTAAAAAACAGACTACAGCACTGAGTCCAGAATTGCAGCTCAAAACATATTATGATGGAGATAAAATATAATGTGATTGTTTTTTACTAAGTTAACAATTGAGTTTATTATGCAACAAATCTGAAAATCTGGTTAGTATATACCAACACTAGACTCTGTTAAGACCATTTGAAATGAAAAAAAAAAAACAGATCATAAATCTATGAGGCCCTAAAATACACCCTTCGGTGGTATTCAGATTATGTGAGTAAATATTTAAATTTCATTCATTTTATATCATTTTATATTTCTGGATTATAAATTTTAAATGCAAAAAATAACACCATGAAACCAAAATATAACCAGTAAAAACACACAGGCCAGTAAAAACAAAATATCATCAATTCAGCCACAAGCAGAGAGCAGTATTTAAAGGGCTCAAACTCACAGATTATGGACCGCAATGTGACGGACCACCCACAGTCTTCCATTGCCTTAACACATTAACTCACTCACAGCTTGTCAGAATAATCTCCTGCCTTAATTCCTATGAAACACTCTGACTGACCTTGCGCTCTGAGCTGTTAAGGTAGACCATCTCAATGCGGTCGTAGTAGGCGTCCACCCAGTAGAGGATGCCCTGTGGGATGTCCAGACTCAGACCGTTGGGCCACAGCACTGTTTTGCTGGTCAGAAACACGTTTCTGTTAGAGCCGTCCATCCAAGCCCGCTCAATTTTGCCTCGCTTGCTCTCCTTAGGGTCCTCCTCCCAGTCTGTCCAGTACATCCACCTGAGGAAGCAACAAGGGGACTGTCACGGGTACAATAATTGAATGACAAGTGATAGAAGAAAGGAGAATATTTGTTGGCAATGATATTTTATCTAGGTCTCCTAAAGCACACAGCACTCATCAGAGCATTCAGTGAGGCGGGTCCACAGTGTTTCTCAGTTGATCTGCCCACAGGCAAACCAGGTACTTTAGGAGCTGTCAATCTGCTCAACTGATCTAGGTTCTGCCTGTGGGCACTAGCTGTCTACAGCATTGTGCAAAACTAGACACAATCCCCTTTGCTAGGATATGACTGACATTAGCATTAACATTTCATATTTCCTTCTTTTTTCCTTTCTGCAAATTTCTCCTCCTTCTCCCTCTCTCTCTCTATGAACCTGATTGATTACAGGCATTAGTGGAGGTGAGTGCCTTTCTCCTGGGAAGTGTGTGGACACAAATCACCCTGTCACTAGAAATCCAGAGAGTGTGCGTGTGCGTGTTTCTGAGCGTGTGTTTCTCAGGAGAGAGCCCAGTTATATCAATAAGACACATCCATACATGGTAAGATTAAGAGCTATTTGAAAGACTGCAAGAGAGAAATGCCTGTAAGTTAAAGAGCTTGTGGATGAAATCTGTCATTTGATGCACAAAATGCTCCATCTGTTTTAATAAGTAGTGTGTGATAAGTGTAATCATAAGGAACGTTACATTTCAGGGTGATAATGGTCAACAACACAGATAAACAAAACATAAAAGGCTCCCTGCAGGAAATTGTGAAGCAACACAGACAAGACACAGTGGGAAATAAACTCCTCACAAGTGGTGAGTAGTAAAACTAATAAACAGCTCAGACACGAGAGATAAGTGAAACTGAGACGGAAAGAGAGTGGACAGAGATTCGAGTTTGCTAAGAGGTTAGTGACAGACCAGCTGAGTCAAACAGCTCTCCAGAAGAAATGGCCACCCATCATTATATCTCACCATATGGTGGCTGACCACAAATAAGCACACACCGACATGCAGGCAACATACTTCACCTCAGACACCTCAAAGTTGGCATATTTTAACTGCTGCTGGTCTACCTAGGCTGTGCAACTCTTATCATCTTCATCATTATTAGTGGTAGTCAGTAGTTGTTACTGTTGCTATTGTTATTGCTGTGCATCTCTGGCTCGCTGTCTTTCTCTCTCTAACCCCAACCAGGTCGAGGCAGACAGCCGCCCTCTTGGAGCCGGGGTCTGCTCAAGGTTTTTTGCCTATCAAAAGGAAGTGTTTCCTTACCACTGTTGCCAAGTGCTTGCTCGTGGTGGGAATTGTTGGGTCTTTGTAAACGGTCTAGACGTGCTCCATTTGAAAAGTGTCCTGAGATAACTTCTGGTATGACTTGGTGCTATGCAAATAAAACTGAATTGAATTCACCTGAATCTTGTTCAGTGATCTTTATCACTTTTCTCTGGAATAAAAACCATCAAACTTCATCACTACCTCTATCTCTTTGTCCCCCTTACCCATGTAGAGGATCCACTACAATGGCACGAGGGTGAGTCATTTTTCCCTCAATTAGGGTTTTGCGGGTCTGTGAAGCCTTTTCCAACCGAGCCACACTGATGGTTTTCTTAGGTCCATCATCTGTCCAGTACAAGTTATCAGCCATCCAGTCCACAGCTATGCCCTCCACTGTGTGGATTCCTGAGACAAACACATACTGTTGATGAGAAGCATATTGCTACAGCAACGACTGCAACATATTCTCATAAATTACTCATACTTTTAGATTTAAACCATGATTTTGTGTAGACTTAGATGTTTTCCATTGCATTGCAACAAAATACGTGTTCTCAATGGGATAAACTGGATAAATGAAGGTAAACATATATATATATCAATATCTTACTATTTGTTAGTAAGATTCTGAACTTGTGAAATAATAAAGCATATGATTGTTTATCATCCCTTCTAAAGGTGTGTAAAAACTCAAGTGTGAATTTTGATCCTGGTTTTACAGGCAAAATCCATACTTATACTTTATTTATTTAGTGGCATATAATGGTAAAGTTCAAGATTGCAACCCACAATATATTACTTGCCTGAGTGTAGGAGTGAGAGTGAAGGGAAACTATAGTGGCCACAAAACTCACAAAAAACACAAAAGGCCCTATTTAGAGTCAGTCTTTGCTTTTGTCTGTTGTGGGCTACTGTAGAAACATGGCGGTGGTCCAACATAGTGAAACAGAACTCTTATCCTCAGGTAATTATACACTAATAAAAACATATCTATAAGTATTATATTCCAATATTCTGCCAATAGATCCTCCTAAATATTACACACAGGACCTTGGTGTGAGTGTGTGTGGATGTGTAACTTAAGTGTCACCTCGTCTTGTGTAACCTCATCTTTGATATACGGTACCAGTTAAAAAACGTGGACACACCTTTCCTTTCACTTGAATGAGAAAGTGTTTTCAAACTTTTAACTGGTACTGTAATTTGTGCACAAATTTAATTTAGACAATTTAAAGAAGGTTTACAGGTTTATAATCATATGCTACTAAATCATTGCTCAAGCCCAAAATAACATTGACCCATTTGGCCTTTATATGTTTCATCTACATACTGTAGCAAATTAGCTGTCATTTTCCTACCTTCCTTTACAATGGTATCCCTCTCCGTTCCATCAATTTTCTGCCGCCCGATAATGTAGCTGGTGGCGTCGGCAAAGTAAATGAACTCGCTCTCAGAATGAAAGTCCAAAGCTCTGGGGTTCATCAGATTCTCTATGGGGATCATGTACTCATCTGGCACCTTGGCGTTCATGTCCATGCCCCTGATGACCCCTGGGCGACCTTTACCATAGACCAGGAAGAGCTCATGCTCAGGTTCTGCAGCAAAACAAAAGCAAAAGACTGTTGGTTAGACCTGAATTAATGTGTACATTATTCAGCAGAGGAAGTTAACTTTAAACTTCTTTCACCTGCCCATATCCTGTTCTTTAATGATTTCAACAAAGAATCAAAACTTAGATGCTGACTCATGACTGCTTTTTGCCCAAATAACGTGTATTGATTAAACAAGAAAATAACATGCGAGATCAGCGAAATCCTTAAATAAAAATTAAGTGTTTTTCAATTGAGAGGCAGAGGGAGAGGAGGAGGGGCTGCCTTTAGTTAGATCAATTGTGTCATTTTCAAGGACAGTTTATTCTCAGGAGGCAGATCAATATAATGCTATTATTGGTTTATAGAATATTAAAACACTTCTTAGAACAAGCTGAATCAGCCTGACAGCTTTATAGGGAGGTCAGTGTAGAGCTAGTGAGTCAGACTAAGGTATGGTGGTGCTCAGCTACTTTGTCCAAAGCTCTTTCCCAGTCTACAGCCCAGGGGAGAACCTCATCCCTGATCCAACCTTGGCTCCCCTTGGCTTTAGATCAACAGAGCTGAATCACTGCGGCTCTCGAGTTTATACTTACAGTTATGCTGGGAGCATGCACACATAAGCTCTGGATGCGCTGAATCTATGCAGAGCACCAGGGCTCCCAACATTTTTTGTAAAACGTACCTCCGCAGCCCTTTTAGTTGAGCTCAAGTATTGACACCCTGCCTGTCATGTTCCAAATGGGCTCAGTTGCATTTATTTCAAACTGGATTTTATTAAATATTTTAAATTATCAGGCAGTGTAAGTTGGTTTCGTCAAGTTTGAATTGTAGTACTGCTTGGAGTAGAAAAAGCTGGATATTTTGACCATTTATTCATTAGGCTTATACTAGCTAACAATTTTACCCATTATCATTAATTGAGCTATTTTCAGTTTATGAACTTGAACTTTCTATTGATTGGTTTTAATTAGTTCCACACTTTTTTATATTACTTTGGGCTCACTTCCCCTCAGACCTCTCTGCTTGCTAACTAGTGGTCACCAGTCACCTTACAGCCAACTCAATATGTATGTTTTTTTGTTGTTGTCCACAGTCTTTCCACATACCTGACAACTGCAGAAGTACCCCCTGGGTTAGAAGTGTGTGAATCACTCATTACTGATATCATATTAGTAGTCCTACTCACTTTTGCAGGACTTTCCGTCGCTGCCCAGGCTGAACCCAGAGCGACAGCGGCAGGTTCGAGTCTTATGGCCGTTACCAAGCAGACAGATGTCCGAGCAGCCACCAGCCTTCCCATTCTGGTCCACCTCACATGCATGGCTACGAACTGCACACAGAGAAGGCAGAAAATGAAGTCACAAAAACAGAAGAATCAAAACTGTATTCAGAGATGAGATGTGCGATTGTGTGTGTGTGTGTGTGTGT